ATCCAGCCTATTTTAAGTATTACCTTACAATGACACCGATTTTTTAATGATTCTTGAAGAGTTTGGCAGGTTTAAAAAACAGAGTTCACATGTGGCCTGGGAGCGGTCAAGGCTGCCCATTCAGACCTTGGCACATGCTTGTCTTTCCATCAGATCCTAAGATAATGAGCATGATTTATTATCACCATTAGTCATTTAAAATGACAGAGTACTCAATGGTAAATTCAAAAATCCAATGTACCAAACCCAAGAGAATGTCTTACAGTACTTAAATGCAAGTAGGTTTTTATAATAAATAGTAAACTTTGCTGCAGACCTAAAGAAAAGAGTAAATTTCTGCTTCTTTCTTGAAAAAAAAAAAGACTACCAGCCATGTACTTTAACTCAGCCTCATTTAAAGGGTCCAAAACAGGGGTGGGATTCAACTGGTGTTACTATCGGTTCAGTGACTACGTTTTGTGCACGCTGTGCTACCTGGACAGCTGAAAAGCGCTGTGCACATGTGTGCAGCATTTGAAAAACCTCTTTTTCCCTGCTTTTTCAACCTTGCGCAAAGCAGCTGAGGTTGAAAAAGCAGGAAATAAAGGACAGGTAAGAGCCCAGGCGGGTAGGTGGGCCAAAACAGCAGCAGACACAGAACCAGTTTGGTGTCTGCTGCTCTTCAGAGCTACCGGCTCTATAGAACCAGGCAGAACCGGTAGCATCCCACCCCCGGTCCAAAGGTATTTTTAAGACTGACCGAAGCACGCTTGTTAAAGAATATTTCTCATTGGATTCTGAATACGTATGTGTGTTTGAAAGTGAGTGAGACGGGAAGAAAGAGAATGAATAACATGATCGTAGGGAAAGACAGAATCTAGCAGTGCTTCTTTCCCTTGGTCAGGAACTGTGTATCTAAAATTTAAACTAAATCTTAGCAACTTAGCCTAACGCTGTCCTCTTATACATGTTTTTTTCTCATGTCCATGATTCATTTTTGAATCAGAGATCCTGGAGAATCCTTTTTAACATCTTTTCCTAAACAGAAGGTCTTTTATCTTGAAATAGATCACCTGCCAACACCAGAACATTATATAAATAAACCCCACTGGAACATTAATATTATAGTAGGTAGCTCAATGACAGTTTGCAAAGCTTTTGATTACTCTCTTAATTTTTCTTCACTCAAAACCTGCTGTGAAATAATCCTTTGTGATCTTACTTAAGAAGGTCTAGCTACGCTTTCTATTAACAACCAAGTAAAAACAGGCAGGATTTTGACCTGCTGCAAACTCTCTGAAACCATTTACTAGAGACAACAACACATGTACCAATGCCTCTACTAATTCACATTCAATTCTCTGAAAGAACAACATACATTATCTTCAAGATCTAAAGTCAACACAGGAAATGGCCCTCATCCACAGAGTAGTAATAGTATCAGTATCAGTACTAGTTAAATTAAATTAAACCTTTACTGTAAAAACCATCCGGCCCCACATCTGATACACTATAAGAGTATTCCTTTGTCTACCAGGTTCCCTCCAAAAAAAGAGAATCCTTATGTAGTTCAATAATCATTTATGGCTGACAACTAATTTATCCTTTCCAACTTTGGGTTCCGGATTTCCCTTCTGATCATGTGATCTGTTTCATTTTTAGTGTTTTTGCTCTTTTTTTAAAAAACCTAAGGCCATCCAGAATCATCTGGAGTTGGGCACTCTCTAATTTAATCTAATTTAGATTAAATTAAATTAAGTTAGTCATTGGCAAAATCCATGCTGTAGCAGGCATCCGTTTATATATTACTGTAATGCCCGGTAACAAATCAGCACTAATCATTTCCCAGTTGTAAACTTAAACCATTTAGGACCTAAAGCGTAACTTCATAAATAGGTGGATCGAAAGGGCAAACAATCAAGGAGGAGAATCCGCTCATCCAAATCGCAATTAGCTTCCATTTCTTAAGCACTTTTGGAAATCGTGATGTTAAAAAAGTGAAACCTAGACACACCCAATGTTATATCAATAAACCCACTTCCTTCGTAGGCTTATGCCCATCCTTATAGGCTGCACCCATAAAGCTTATTAAAGAGAAGAGGATGAAGAAACTGGATGAAATTCAAATCTTGCTGCTAGAAAGTGCTCGAGACACAAGTAGAGGCCCAATGGTTGGGGAGACATAGCAGAGACCGGAGATCAGTGGCTGTTTTCAGAGCGGTTCAGGGAGCTGGCAGTGGGAGATTGGAGGGCGGGGAGGAGAGAGAGAGAGGGAGAGAAAAGAAAGGAAGGGGGTGTGGATATTAAGAAAGACAAAAGAAGACAGGTTAGATCCCAGACTGAGAAAAGCAACCGTCCAATTAAAGATAATAATCATTTCCCTGTTGAGAACAATGACACTACTTATACGTTGCAGAATTGTTATAGTCCTGAATTTACAACTATTCATTTAGTGTCCATTTGAAGTTATGGCACTGGAAAAAGTGACTTATGACCGTTTTTCATACTTACAATTATCGCAGCATCCTCATAATCATGTTATCAAAATTCAGATGCGTGGCAACTGGCTCGTATTTATGACGGTTGCAGGGTCCCAGGGTCATATGACCAGCTTTTGCGACCTTCTGACCAGCAAAGTCAATGGGGAAGCTAGATTCACTTAATAACTGTGTTACTAAACAACTGCAGTGATTCACTTAACAACTGTGTCAAGAAAGGACTTAAAATGAGGTAAAACTGACATAACAATTGTCCCACTAAGCAACAGAAATTTTGGGCTCAATTGTGGTCGTAAGTCGAGGCTTAGCTGTATACTCTTGATCAGTGGTGGGATTCAAAACTTTTTGCTACCGGTTCTGTGGGCTTGGCTTGGTGGGCGTGGCAGGGGAAAGATATTGCAAAATCCCCATTCCCTCCCCACCCTACTAACCTGCTTTCCAGCTCCGTTCTCCTGTGCCGGGCAACAAAAGAAGACCCAGCCGATCAGCTGGGACTCAGGAGGCAGAGCATAGATACGGGCGGGGCCGGTCAGAGGTGGTATCTGCCGGTTCTCCAAACTACTCAAAATTTCCACTACCGGTTTTCCAGAACTAGTCAGAACCTGCTGAATACCACCTTTGCTCTTGATGCTGGAGTATTACTATACAGGTAGTTCTCAACTTACGACCACAATTGGGACAGGAATTTTGGTCCTTAAATCAAGACGATTGTTAAATCGAGGCACCCACATGACCTGATCCTATAATACAACTGTTTTTGTTGGGGTCATTAAATGAATCACAGTGTTGTTAAGTCCAAATCCATTCTCCTGAATGGGCATTTTTGCCAGCAAACCTTTTTTTTTCCAAGTTGTGATCACATGATCCTGCAAACAGTTGTAAATGTGAGACAGCTGCCAAGCACCAGAAATGCAATCATTTGACTTGTGGGGGTGAGGTGACATTTTACAACAGCCAGAAGTACTTTATGCACTGTGTAGCACCCTTTCCAAGGTAGTAGCTCCAAATGGTAATTAGATAAACCAGTCATAAATCAAGTACTACCTGTACTTAGATAAAGTACTGTACTTTAGTCATAGTGATGGTCACAAAAAGTGTCAATTAGTTGGTTCTGATTTCTTAGTTCAGTAATTTTATCTATTTTTGCCTGCTCTACTCTTGAAAGGCTATCATTTATATGGCAATTTACAGAAGCAATAATAAAGACCGAAATGCAAAGAAAATAGCAGGATTCATACGTTGCATTCAGAAGTTGGCTTGATTACAGATCAGTGTGTTGTGTAAACACAGCCAATTATAGTTTATTTAATAAGCCAAACTTAAGCCACGAGCAATGTGTGAATGAAGCCAATGAGTTCTCAACAGAAGCAACTGCACTAAAAACACAAAATTATGTGGAAGCAGTTTTAGGACAGTCTATAAAATAGGTTTTGTTTAACCAGATTAAAAAATCTGGGTCGCCAAAATGGCCAGGTTTCAAGCTGGTGTTATACGTTAGACAAATGCTCAAGTGATTTCCAATCCTACATTTGCTAAATGCGACAAGAAAATATATTTGTAACTTGGTATCCTCCAAAAATATGGGCTGACGTGTCCCATCATTCTCAGCCAGGCCATCTAAATGTCCCTACGGCTGAAGGACGTCCACTTTGGTGAAAATATTTCTCCTAAAGCTCCTTCCACACCTTGCTTTCCGATATCTAACATGCTTCTTCCCAGCATCAAAAACATCACAACATGCCACTAAAAGCTCACTGCCGATCCAGCCTTTCAAATCTCTGTTTAAAAAAAATCCTTGGAATATTTTCAAGTGAAAGAGGTGGCATCCAGCCTTCCCTGTCTTCACATAGTTAAGTAAATCATTAACAAGCACCGAGGACAGAATGTAAATAGTAAAGGAAAGTGTCAGCTGCCACCTTCTGCTTGCTTGTGTTTTACTGTTATATGGTGACAGACTGCCATGAAGTATGAGGAGGGGGGAATGAAAGGAGGAAGGCTTGGGGGGAAACGAAAGTAAAAGCTGTATCTCCTCCAGAAGCTGCTTCAAGATGACCCAGCTGGAAGAAGGAAGGGGCCGCATATGCTTGGACTGGCCGTTAAGTAAACATTTTGCCTGAATTGGATTGGTTACACTGGGGTGGCTAATTGGAGGTTGCTAAGGGAGGGAATAGTTGAACTTAGGGATTTTGGTGTGCTATATTCGCTTCTGCCTTTGCATTACTGCAATACACTTGACTTCTAATAAAACTATGCCTTTCTCCACAAATGGGAGGCAGGGATCGTTTCTATTTAGAGGTTTAAGGGGTGGCAGGCCTGACAGAAAGTTTTCAGTATCGGTTAAGAATTATAATAAAACATGCAAAATGGCACATGCAATGCAACAGCTAGATGTACAGGAGGAAAGCAGTTCAAAGATGCGTCCAAATTCTGTACTCAAAGTTACACTCATTGAAGAAGTCACCGTATATTCCCTTTTTTTTTTGCTTCAGCTAAACAATTTTAGAATATTGGAAAAGAAAATGAAAACGGAGAGATCTGAGATTCTGTGGCATTGATTCCACTTCTTTTAAGCCGATGATTCTCCTTGGGACCTCAATTATCTTTGCTGCCATCCTGGTTCCCAGGACTATCCAAGCCAGGGGTCCCCAACTCTGGGACAGTGGCCTACTACTGGGCTGTGGCCTGTTTGGAACCAGGCCAGGGAAGTGGCAGGCGAGCACAGGCATGCGCACAGCTCCACTTGTGCAAGCAGCAGGTGAGAGGATGCACATGCGCTCAGCTCCATTTGCCCGAGTGGCAGGGGCGCATGCCTGCCGCTCGTGCAAATGGAGTTGTGCATGCATGCTCACCCATGACTCATGCCAAACAATCTCCTCTCCTCCCTGCATCAGTCTGCAAAGTCAGAAAGGCTGGGGACTGATGACCTAAGCAATAAAGCTTTAATTCCACTCTGCCAGGATTGTGTGATTTCAGGAGAGGAAGCGACGTTATTATTAGTCGGCAACAGCAGAGATAAACTAGGCAACAAGAAGAAACTGAACCAGAAAGATCATTCAAGTGTTGCTCGGCCATTAAAAGTTCATCCTTCCTCCTTGTGCTTTTAAGTTAAGAGTTGAAGGACTTCTGCATGTGACCAGAAGCAAAAGGAGCAAACGCAGCCCACGTTCATAGCATTTAGGTGTCCACTACAGCAGGGGTCCCCAACCACTGGTCCCCAGACCGGTACCGGTCCGTGGAACAATTTCTACCGGGCCGCCGGTTTGCTTGGTGCCGCCATCTTGTTTGACGAGAAAGTGCTTCCGGGTGAGCTTTTCCGGTTGGAAAGCGGCGTTTGGGTCCTGAAGGAATCCTCGCGCCTTAGTTTCATCAAAGGGGGTGGGGCTTCGAATGAAACTAAGGCGCGAGCATTCTTTCAGCACCCAAGGCAAGGCGAGCCGAGCGACCGTCCCGAAGCGAAGCCCATCGACAAAGGTACAAAGGAAGAGTTGAAGGTGGCGGGGAGAAGCGGGGGACGGCTGGCTGGACGGTCACTCGGCTCGCCTCGCCTTGTCATGCGTGCTGATGCCGGTACCGGGCCGCGGATGATTTTGTGATGCCGGTACCGGGCCGCAGCACAAAAAAGGTTGGGGACCACTGCACTACAGGATCAGGGTTGCAACATCCCCATTAGCCCTGTTCCAAGATGCCTCTCCCTGCCTACCTGGTTCTCCGCCTCTGTGAAAGCAAGTTGCCCGGATCACCATTGATCAGATGTTGGGCAGCCGCATGTGGGGGACAGAGACGCAAGTTCTTCAGCAACTCTTGCTCGTTGAGAAAAGGCTTGAGGCAGCCTCGCACTGGAGAATTCCCCACACTGCTTGAGCGGGTCAGTGCCCGAGACTGGTTGAAAGGCCAAGGTGGCTCAGTCTCTTCCTTCAAGACTACAAGAAATAGGAAACAAACAAGAGGAGAAACACAATTCAGTTCTTAACCAGACTTAATACAACCAAGTAGACAGAAGGGTAGCCAACAGAAATTTACAGAAATAAGATTACTGTCTAAGTAGGCTTAGACTTAGCCGACTTAACATAATCCAGTAGACAGAAGATGAATCTGTCTGCTGATCTAAATCTTACTGTCTAATTAATTCGGGTAGAATATAGTGTAAACTCACAAGAGGGAAGGGCTCCTTCCCAGAGGACAAAGAGACAGCGGAGTTTAGACTGTCTGGTAGGCAGGGAAAGGGCAAAGGCAGAGCCTCTCTAGCAGTTCACATAGTGTATCTAATAGTTAGGCAGAGAGTTGATTTAGTCTGGCAAGATTCTGTCTATAGGTGAACAATAAGGAAATCTGTCTACCAATCTAATCTTACAAGTCTTATTGTTTAATTATTAGACAGGAATCATCCATAACATCACAATCCTTATTTTCCAGATATTTGGTTCCAGGCCAAGATCATCGGCAAAAGATGCCTAAAGAACCCAGCTTGCTTTTCTTCCCTATTGGAAAACTGTCCTTCCTAAAAGGAACTCAGTTAAGAGTACGTTGCAAAAATCCTTTTCCCTCTGCTTCACTTTTTCTCACCCTAACATAATGAGAATAACACGAAGCCGGCACATTTTAAAGTCGATAACAAAGTCTATGCAGAATCTTACAATTTAGTTTTCATACAAGAATTCTTCCTAGAAAATGCCAATTCAGATCCCTCTGATTCCTGTAGAATCAAAGTTTAGGATTTAGACTCTTCCTGACTGGAAGAAGCGTTAGATTTTTCTCAGACACCAGATACTGTTCCCATCCCAATCTAGATCAGTTCATCTAACAGAAACAGAATGTGGACGTGCAAGCAATTTTGGGCACCCCCAAGGATGGCACATACGGCACTTTTGCTACATAAGCTGCACTGGGTGCTGGTTTATTTCCAGGTCCAATTCAAGGTGCTAATACCTTCAAAGCACTACAGGACACGGGCAGTGGTGGGATTCAAAAAAATATTACTACCGGTTCTGTGGGCATGGCTTGGTGGGCATGGCAGGGGAAGGATACTACAAAATCCCCATTCCCACCCCACTCCTGGGAGAAGGTTACTGCAAAATCCCATTCCCTCCCCACCCCACTAACCTGCTTTCCAGCTCCATTCTCCTGTGCAGAGCAACAAAAGAAGACCCAGCCAATCAGCTGGGACTCGGGAACCAGGGAATAGATGGGGGTGGGGCCAGTCAGAGGTGGTATTTGCCGCTTCTCCGAACTACTCAAAACTTCCGCTACAGGTTCTCCAGAACTGGTCAGAACTTGTTGAGTACCACCCTCGGGACACGGGGCCAGGCTACCTGAGGAACCATCTCATCCCCATTATGTCAGCCCATCCCACCTGGTCAGGCAGAGAGGGTATATTAAAGTTAACTGCCAGTTAAATAATTTTCACTGTAGTAGTCCGGGAAGGAAGCTTTCTCTGCCATTGTTCTTGCTCTGTGGAACATTCTCTCTCCAGAGGTGAGGTGGGCCCCTGATCTCCTGGTCTTTCAAAGGAGTTTGAAGGCCTGGCTCTGCCAACTCACATGGCACATAATGAGCAGCATGCAACCCTGGAGATGGTTGGCATCTTGATGCCCCTCTCCCTGCCTTTTAACTATTTTATCATTGTATTTTATCTGGCTCCTTACAAAATCACGCATGTAGGCTTCTGTCTTAATCAGTGGGCCCCACCTCCCAAAAGCAGACCAAGTAGGGTGCTAAAATGGGCGAAGACAACCAAACAGGAACCATTTCTACAGAGCTGGAATCTAGATACTGATATCAATCCGCCTGAATTGTCTCAGAAAGCTCAAGCTCGTTTTTCTGTTAAGAATGAACAGTTGCTTACATTCTCGATCTGACAGCGAATACGGTTTTATGTCTCCCTCAGAGCGCTTTGGGGGCAGCTTTCTTGCTGGAGCTGCAACAGAGGGTAAATAAAACAAATGAGCATTTGGTTGTGGTAGGAGAGCAATACCCCAAACACCTCCAGCAATATTAGCCTCCATTCTTATGAGACAATATGTTTCAACAATCACATTGTGAAGAATGGCCATTCAAAATTATGTGGAGGTGTGAGAATTAGTCTAAAATTGCAGAGCACTGAAACGAACAGCTGGGTCAAGGAGAAGAAACAATGTCACAGTCATTGAAAGATCTCCATCACTCAAGCTAGGTAATTCATTTCTCAAACAAAGGAACCATGTTGTCATTAAATCGAGGATCGGCCCTGACCAACTGCAATGTATTTAATTTATCTACTGCAACATTGCTGGATACCTAAAATTTATTTCAGCACAGAAAGCCTACAGCTAATTGACAGAGAATTTCTGAGGATGAGGCAGAAATTTTTGGTGCACTATTTTTGATCATTTATCAAAAGGGTAAGACAAATTCTTAGCAGGGGCCCCCAACCCTCCAAGTCACAGACCGGTATTGGGCGGGAGTTCATTGGGAACTGGGCCACATAAGCGGTGAAGTTTTCTTTGCAAAGACGAAGGATTAGATTGCATGTGCGAAACCATCCCCCCCGCCATTGTTGCTGGTCCCTGGAGCCCCAAAAGTAGGGACACCCCTGTTCTAGAGCAGGGGTCTCCAATCTTGGCATCTTTAAGCCTGGCGGACTTCAACCCCCAGAATTCCCCAGCCAGAATTCCTGGATGGGGAATTCTGGGAGTTGAAGTCTGCCAGGCTTAAAGTTGCCAAGGTTAGAGACCCCTGCTCTAGAGGATACAATGATACTATGTGGTTCTATGTGGTTGTTCTGAGATGTTTTTGACTATGGGAATGTTATTCTTTCACAGCTTGTGTTGTAGTGTTTTGAGATGTGAGACCCTTTTTGATAGTTGCACGGGCATGCGTTTTGTTGGGAGATGTTGTGTAGATAGAGGTCTGATTCCTTTTTCTTGTGTTCTGGGCTGCTGCAATGCATTTGTACTCATCTAAATAATGTTCTTATCCAGCTCTCTTGTGGGAAGCTGAGTTGTTCCTTTGATAATGGAGCACTCGGCTAGTGTAGATTGCTTTTCAACAGACACGCGTTTCTAACTTGCCATTTTTTTTTTAATGCTGATGAGGATATCTAGAAAGGATAGCGTGTTCTTGTGGTCTACTTGTGATTTTGATTCCTTTAAAGATGTTGTTTTATGTGGTCTTCTCTAGTTACACTTTTTTTATTGTTGACAAAGATGTTGTCTGCATACAGAACTGGATCCATACTTTTGGTTGTATGTGTGGGACTGTTATAGCGTCTCGATGCTGCATTATACTCTCTGCTAGGAGTACCATTCCCATGGGTGTGCCTCCTCTGATTGTCTGATATGTTTGTCTATTTGTTTTCAGGTGTTAAATCCAAAATGATATTTTCATATAAGACTATGCTGAACGAAGACTGGGAGAACATGATATGATGTTTTAAGAGACAATTGGTCCATTCTTACTAGTAACATGTATCATCGTATTATTAGGCAAATGACATTACTTATATAATTTGCACTGGGCACACAATTATATCTTTCGTGCGGTGACATCATGTGTATGACACTATAATGTCACCTACCAGGTGCTTATTTAAATCACACTCTTATTTGTCTTTATTTCAGGCCAGGATAACATGTATGGCTTCAAACAATGAGTACTATATGATTAAACAAAAGCTATGAAATGAATGCAGGATATTCCTAATCTACAGAAGAAATAATCTACTGTGCTATGTTTAATTCTGACTAGCTATTCATTATTGTTGTCAACTTGAATAATTCTTGTTTCTCCATTCTGAATTTAACAAACTTCCATGATCAGTCACCTGCTCATACAAAAACATTAAAGATTATACTATCTCATGAAAAACAGGAATATGGCAGATAAACTGGAATCTTCTGCTATGTTTAATTCTTCACAAGCAGCATATTTGCACCCTCACTATAGTAGAACAAACAGCTGCAAAATCAGAGAAAATCTTAATGCAGCAACAGAAATAAATGTACTACAGGTAGTCCCCAAAGTACAACCGTAAAGGAGCCTGCCCATTAGTAATGGTTGTAAAAGAATTTGATCATGTCACCGTGGGATGCAACAAACAGCCGTAAATATAGCTGTGTAACCGAGTGCCCAAAGTCTGGTTACATGACTGTGTGGTGGTGGGCCTGACCGAGGGAACTATATGGATCTGTATGGTAAGTACAGCAACAAAGATGATTAGGGGACTGGAGGCTAAAACATATAAAGAATGGTTGCTGGAATTGGGTATGTCTAGTTTGATGAAAAGAAAGACTAGGAATGACATGATAGCAATGCTCTAATATCTCAGGGGCTGCCACAAAGAAGAGGGAGTCAATCTATTCTCCAAAACACCTGAGGACAGGACAAGAAGCCATGGGTGGAAAATAATCAAGGAGAAACAACCTAGAACTGAGGAGAAATTTCTTGACAGAACAATTAATCAGTGGAACAGCTTGCCTCCAAAGTTGTGGGTGCTCCAACACTGGAAATTTTAAAGAAGAGATTGGATACCATTTGTCAGAAAAGGGTATAGGGTTTCCTGACTGAGCAGAGGGTTAGACTAGAAGACCTCCAAGGTCCCTTCCATCTCTCTTATTCTATTATATTCTAAGTCTCCTTTTTTCAGATAGGTCGTAACTGTGAATGCTTGTTAAGTAACCAGTCATAAATTGAGACCACCTGTACCTTCTCAACTTTCTCAAGCACTCCATATCTCAGAACTCCAAAAGATCTATTTATTTGCTATATAATATAAATTGTTTACAAGATAGTGATGTATTCCAATTTCTCCGAATCCAGTACCCTGCAAATGTATTGGGTATCAGCTTTCAGCATTTCTAGGCCACGCAGCCAACAGCTGCTGCAGTATATCTTCATAACTCTGAAATCAGAAATCTCCCTGTTTAAAACACTTTGTACAGGATCAGACAACTTCAAATGGATATAGCTAGATATTTATATCACTGACTCACCATGCTGGTGGCTGAAAAAGCCCTGGAAAATTACAAAATTATTCACCTAAAACAGAAAAAAAAAGCATTAAATCAACCAATCTGATCCCACTATCCACTGCCAATGTCCTTTGAAGCAGAAATTCCAACATTCTTTTTTTTCCTGCCATTAATTTGAAGATTTACTTCTCCTCACTGGATACAAAAACATTTTTAAAGGGAAAAGGACAGAGTTCAGAGCTAGGCCATATGCTCTGCATACAGAAGATATTGGCTTAAATTTTCAGCATATGTATTGTAAAAGCTTTGCCAAGTCATAGTACAGCCTTATAATTTTTTCAAATGGTAATTAAAATTCGAAATTCTTAAATCAAGAGTCAGCACTTCTTCAAACATTAGATTCAGGCCATTTCTACATAATGTGTTCTAGCAACCTGTATGGCAACCTTTTAAAATAGCTAACTGAAAAATCAGTAGCAATAGTATTTTCACTGCCCCTTATTAAGTTAATAATATTTATTAGCGAAGTCACTTTTTCCACAGCTCATGTCATGGTTTTTAAAATGTGGAAAATAAGCATTACAAAAATTGCACATATCCACTTAAGCATGGAGGGTTTGTATTTTTTGGTATGCAAAATGTCCCAGTTCCATGTTTTTCTGGTTCTGGTTTAAAAGAGCGACAAAGTACATACACACAAATGACAAAACAATACTATTGGGTGAAAGCTGGCTTTGTTTTCAAGAAGATGGCTCACCTGGGGGATTATGTCAGTGAGGCTGTAGTGTTTACGAAGGAAGCACAGAAGTTTTTCTGATGGGCGGTCGATTGCCAACTGATAGGGCTCTACTCGCTCTCGCTGAGTGAATAAAAAGAGAAAGAATTTCTCTGCAATGTTACTTCTCAGGAAGAAAATAAGATTTAGAGACAGATATTGTCTTTCGCGATTGGATCAGTGTATATCTGACCCGAAAAGAGGGGTGGGGGAAGAATAGAATAGAATTCTTTATTGGCCAAGTGTGATTGGACATACAAGGAATTTGTCTTGGTGCAACTGAGTCTTAGTTTTTTGCACTGTTCTCATCCCAGACCAAAGGCAGTTTAGTTAAAGGGAAACCAGGCAGTCATTTCTAGCTAACAATTTCACCTCAGAAAGAAATAATGGCTCTCAGACAGGGGTCTCCAATCTTGGCAACTTTAAGCCTGGTGGGGAATTCTGGGAGTTGAAGTCCGCCAGGCTTAAAGTTGCCAAGGTTGGAGACCTCTGCTCTAAGATATCCGAGGTTCTTATTCCCTTGTTTTGAATTTTTTTATTTACAGGTAGTCCTTGACTTATGATCACAATTGAGCCCAAAATGTCCATTGTTAAGCAAGATAGTTAAGCCAGTTTTCCCCTATTTTATGACCTTATTTGCCACAGTTGTTAAGTGAATCACTGCAGTTGTTAAGTTAATAATACAGTTAAGTGAATCTGGCTTCCCCATTGACTTTGCTTGTCAGCAGTTCATGAAAAGAGATTGCATGTTCCCAGGACAATGCAACCGTCATAAATACATGCCAGATGCCAAGCGTCTGGATTGTGATCATGTGACTGTGCAGATGCTGCAACGGTCATAAGTATGAAAAACAGTCATAAGTCATTTTTTCATTGCAACTATAACTTCAAACTTCAAACATCACTAAACAAATGATTGTTAGTCAAGAACTACTTGTATTAAAATGTATAATGTCCAAGTACGAGAAACTCTATTAATCAACTTTCCTAAAATCAATTTCTCTCCCAAATAAAAGTAAAACAAATATAATTGGCATTATTTAGAGAATAGTGACAGTGCATCTTGACTAAAAGAGCTAAGTTATGAAGCAAATTTTTATTCAAAATAGAGTACCTGTGCTGCACAAAGCTTTTGTCAGTCCCATGTCCTTCAACCTGGCTAGTTGCAGAATTCATTTCCTATTAAACAGTCTCTCCCAACTTTGAGACTTCCTGATACATTGGAATTAAGTAAAGGTAAAGGTTTCCCTTGCACATACGTGCTAGTCATTTCCGGCTCTAGGGGGCGGTGCTCATATCCGTTACAAAGCCGAAGAGCCAGCGCTCTCCGAAGACGTCTCCGTGGTCATGTGGCTGGTATGACTAAATGCTGAAAGCTCATGGAACGCTGTTACCTTCCCACCAAAGTGGCTCCTATTTTTCTACTTGCATTTTTACATGCTTTCGAACTGCTAGGTTGGCAGAAGCTGGGACAAGGAATGGGAGCTCACTCCATTACACAGCGCTAGGGATTCGAACCGCCGACCTTTCTGATCGACAAGCTCAGCATCTTAGCCACTGAGCCACCACGTCCCTGAAAACATTGGAATTATAACTCCCTAAATCCCCAGCCATCACATAAATTATGAGATTTGTATTTCCTGCAGATGTGGAAGGCAGCAAGCTAAGGGATATGTGACTGGAATTCCTGTTAATTCTTGTTCGATAGAGCTTTAGTATGTCAGAAAACCTTCAAATCATTCCTGGATTATGACAGCTCTATGTCCATGCCTCGGTTCTGCAGGTTTAATTTGCTGTGGGGAGGTTTTGCCTTTTCTATGGAACGAGTGGTAAAGATGAAATACAGTGGCCTAATCCAAGTCAGGACATTTATTTCTTGGATTACGCAGCTCCGAAAAAGAGGGCTGCACCTGCAGCATGTAATGGAAGAGCTCCTTGCCATAGCCGTGCCGCTGAAGAGACTCGTGAATGTAGAAATCCAGCACACACAGAGGTTCCACTTCATTGTGAGCTCCTTGACGGTCCTGAAAACAAAACAAAAAACAAAAACCAGACAGCCTCCATGTTAAAATGGCTCTTTCCAGGGTGGGAAAAAAAATCGGATTTTTTTTTTTAGTTTAATCAAATTTATTTTAATAAAATGCTTTTGGAGTAAAAAATCTACCTAAAATCATTTTCTATTTAAAATACATTAATAATTTAGTTTATTCAACATGAAATGGAGCTTAGTTATATAGCATAAGGCTATATATTCTGCAATATCGGGACTGTCGGTGAGTCAACAGCAGGCCAGAGGAGCTGCTGCTGCAGGACAGAGATGACAGTGGCTCTTTAAAAATTATGATTTAAATCGAGTTGATTTAAATCAAGCCTTTTTACTAGTGATTTAAATCGTGATTTAAATCGACTTGATTTAAATCAAATTCACCCTGGATCTTTCTGAACCAGGCATTCTGCTGCAGGCTAACTTTTCCTGTGCTTCTCAAAAGAACCTCCCGTTTGAATCTGTCTTTGGACTGTCTGCTCAAATTGGTAATTTACATGCTGGTTAGCATTAAAGAGCAATTAGGCCTGGTGAACTGCCCTTTTATTCTGCTTCAACTCCCCAGTTGCTTAGGGTTTCCCAGGATCATTGGCTCTGCCCTTGCAAAGTTGTTTTAAAGGTTTTCTTGGGGATATTCTTAATACTTTCGGGCATTACTACATTTACCCTTTCTAAAAACGTAGATAATAATGCCACATACAGAGGTATAAAATGCCACTCATGACATTTTTCATTTCACACAAATAGGAGATTGTTCAAAGGGGGGAATTTATTCTGCAAACAAGAAAGCAGGAAAAGGATTGTTTCATCTTCTGCGCCTCAAGTTAGAGCACAAACAATAACTGCAGCCGTGTTTTTTACAACCTCCCCACACCAAATTAGACTAAAGAGCACAACTGAAATTGTGGCTAAATCAGAATCAGTACAAGAATGACTACGTGTATGGTTTTTTTTAAAGCATTTCAGCCGTTTTATGCTGATTTCAAACTAACACTACAGTATTCAGCATGATGCATCATTTGAATTTTCTTATTGTTGGGAATAGTTAGAGCATAACAGGAAGCAATGGTTCCATGAATGAAACTTTGTCCTTGAGCCCCTACTAAACCATCTTTCTTTCTCTTTACAAAAGGGCATTCAGCAGGTGTGTAAAAAACATGGCAATGATGATTAACTCAGAGTCTACAATGGATGTTTTCAATCTTTTTTTTCATTTGTGACAAAGGGGGCAACTCCAAGATCACAATCTTGTTGATATGGCTAAGAAATAGTCATCAAAACCAACTATTAACTTTGTCAAGACATCTTTTCAGCTTTCACCAAGCTTAAAAAAGATTATTATGAGTGGCAGGGAGCCAGATTCCTTGCAATAAAGAATTTATACTTTGAGAATATGACACCACTGTGGGAATATACCAGTATAATTTAAAGCTTCTTGCAACGTAGGGATGGAAGAGATCTTGGAGATTTTCTCACCTAACTTCCTGATCAGAACTTGCACTGATCCTGTTTGGGAACCATGCACCCTTTTCCACCAGTGACAAAAATTCCATGTATCAAGGGTGATTTTCCAGTGTACTTACCAATACAAAGAGTTTTTTGTAACCAACTTTGAGGAAGCCAATTATAATCCCTTTGCCAGTCCTGAAATCAGTAAAAGAAGATAGAAAGCTTTATTTTATTTATCAATCAAATTTATACAGCTGCCAATCTTACAAAAAATGAGATTTTCTTCAAGGAAGGATTAAAAGTGGTAAATATTCAGAGAGTAGAGGAGAGTAGCGTAGCGTAGCATAGAGTAGAGTAGAGTAGAGCAGGCTATCTAGTTCTGATAAATTTAAACTTGACCAAAAATTGATCCTAACATAAAGGATTATGACAATACCAGTTTGTCAAAAGCTTTTTGGCATATGGTATAGCAAAAAGGAAGAACAATACTGCTGTGGGCACTGGCATAGGGTCCCACTGCACCTGAACAAAGATTTTTGGGGAAGCTGCAATGCAACTCTAACCCAGTACTCTTTGCAATATCATGCTTCACTTCAGTAATGACAAAAATCATTCAAGAAACTAGGATTACACATGTAGCAGAGACTCCCTTCACAAAAGTATTATTTGGCTGAAATGCAACTCTATGTGTCAGCGCTTCTTGCAGCACCTTGCACCCTTAAAATGATAAATGAATTCATGTGAATTTAAGTTACATATCAGAGGATTCTACCTACTGTGAGCTTCTACAAGCAGAATAAGCCAAAGCAAGAGTGAGTTTTGAAAACATTTCCATTTTGTCTTCATAAGCCTGATCATATTTTGGATTGGTGCAGTGGCCTAGAGGTGGAGCTTTCACCTCACAATCAGGAGGCTGCGAGTTCAATCCTAGGTAGAGGCAGATATTTCTCTCTCTGGGCACTCTCTGAGAATATATCTGCTGAACAAAACTCCACATTGGCGACAGGAAGGGCATCCAGCCATTAAAACACTCGCTCAGACTCCACCCCGTACTGGATTATGAGGTTGTTAAATGAAGATGATGAAGCCTGACCAGATTTTCTCCAAAAAAAAAAAAAACATCTCCAAAAACCTATTTCACTACTCAAAGTTGCTTAGGAGTCCCCTAACCCACAATCTGAAAAGCTTTGTCCTATCTGGAAATCAATCCTTCTGAACTAAAGCAAATGTTACTCCCAAACAGGCAGTCTGTATATAGAATCCAAATTCTTTTTGCTATGAGACTCACATTTTTGCTTCACTGTCTTTCAGGATGTAGAGCACATGGCGGTTGGTTTGCATCCTTGAGGCACTGGTGATTGGAGTTGGCAGATTCTGGGCCTGAAACCAATGAGATTTGAGTTTCACCAAAATGATGGCAGGAGGTAGGGTGGAAGAGAAGATGCAGTTATGTGGTGGGCATCTGAACTAATGCTTAGAGAGAAAAATATACTCTTTGCTTCCCATATTCCTCATCTCTTTTAGCCTGCATATACTGGGATCTATACACCAATCACAGCACACTGAACTAACAGGAGTGCAGGCAGTCCTCAACTTAAAGTCTTTGTTTAATGCCCATTCAAAATTACAATGGGCCTTGAAAAAAGTATTTTACGACCATTTTTCACACTTAAGACCATTGCGGCATCCCCATGGTCACATGATCAGAATTTGGATGCTTGGCAACTAGTTCATCTTTATGATAGTTGCTGGGTCATGTGATCACAATCTTCTGCAAGGGTCATGTGATCACAATCACAATCTTCCGACAAGCAAAGTTGGAAGCCAGATTTATTTAACAACTGATATTAACTTAACAACTGCAGTGATTCACTGACCAACTCTGAAAATAAAATCGTAAAATTGAGCAAAACTCACTTAACTGCTTCACTTAGCAATATAAATTTTGGGCTCAATTGTTGTCATAAGTCAAGGACTACCTGTATGTGAAATTAGGCTGAAATTGCCCTAGCCAAAGATTAAGGAAGCATGTTCGTAGAGAAGATAACAATCCAGAAATCCTCTGGGGAAGGTACATAAAAAGAAACAAATCATTAAGGAACCATAGGGGAAAAAAAACATCATCTCAAACTGGAAAAAGTTGGGCTTGAGCACATGATAAAAATGCTAACTTTGGGAAATAAAAGTAAGTCCTGAAGCTTGCCTATTTCTTCTTTTTGGATCCAGATGTGGCAGCTTCCTAGTTCAAAAGGATTTGTGTTTTAATTTTCTCTAAATGTTTGGACTAAATGAGCAGAATCACATTTGGCAAGGTGCCTCCTTCAACCTAATGTCTGATTGGGCTTGTACTTTAGCTCAATCAGTGAGCTTATTTAGAAAATTTACCCCAATAGTTTGCTGCTATCTCTACTTCCTCCAAGAGTATAACTGATTTTTTAACCATTATTAACCTACCTTGGCAGAGGCTTTGCCCATCTCATCTATGATCTTCATGAGTTGCTGCTGCATATCAGCTCTGGTAAAACAAACATGGAATAACAATTAGAAAGGCAAAATTAAACAAAAACAAAATACTTATCTACATTTAAAAAAATGAATAATTTGATGCAACAGATACAAGCCAACCCAGGACTGATAATTTCTATATATACTGTGTGGGTGTGTGGGTGTGGGTGTACATCTACCCACACAGTTTGTATACATACACACACACTTATCCTTCCAGATAGAAAGGGTTAAACACACTCTTGGATTCAACACAAGATGGCTTCAATTGATCATCCTATCTGACACAAAAGCTGAGTTTATATGCCACAGCAAAACAGAATTCATACCGGTATATATAGATATATAACCAAAAAACCCAAGCAAGTTAATTTCTTAATAAAACTGGTGGAAAAGGGGATTTTGACCTTTGAATCTTTCTTCCTTTACCAGCAGCAGTGAACTGTAGGCACACTTAACCTCATGCAGCATTTTGCTGGGTGGAAAAGGTTCTAGCTTAGTTTTAAAAATACAACACATCAACTGGAGGAGGCTTAAGTCATAGAGTATCTATAAGGTGTGAAATAGATCTATCTGGATATAGTGGTTAAGACATCAATCTAGAACCCAGAAGCCTGTGAGTTCTACTCCCACCTGAGGAACAAAGCCAGCTGGGTGACCTTGGGCCAGTCGCTTTCTCTCAACCTTAGGAAGAAGATGGCAATGGCAAACCACTTCTGAAATCCTGCTGAGAAACCTTGCAGGGACTTATCCAGGCAGAATCCAGGAATCAACCAAGCCTCAAAGACAAACACATGCATACACAAACGTGGTCCTTCATATCCATCATTTGGATGATGCAGAATCAATCAAGAATACAAACACGGTGTGGAGACAGTATCAAATCCTTTATTTTATTTCATTTCATTCTCACTCTTTCATTCACGCTTCTCTATTTTTCTACGGGTGATTCGGATCAATCAGTAATAAAAACACAGCGTGGTGGAGACAGTTCCCAAACCTTTATTTCCTTTCATTTTCTCATCCTTTCATTCATGCATCTCCATTTTTCTATGGGTAGATCCGGAGGGATAAGGGGAGAGGGATATTGCAGGAGTCCCCAACATACGCATCCCCACTCCCTTTTCTACCTTTCCCACTGATGAGCTCTCCCTACGTTTACCCAGTTTGACTGACACCTTTGCTCCACAACCGATCGCTGTGCGCCGGTGTCTGTCTGTGTAGAAAATCAGGGGCAAAAAAGGCCTCCATCATTTCTTATGTTACAACCTATGAACTTCCTGAACCCCAAGCTGCCCTTCGTTGGCCTTCTTCTATTTAATGAGGGGTGACCGCAGAACGACACCCCTCCCCCGCCTCGGAAGGTCGCCCAGCGCTCGGGCTCTTTGTGCAGCCCCGTTCGCCTCGAGATCGCCGTGGGTGGAGGAAGGCGTAACTCGAGCGCCTGCGAGACAGGAGACGGGGCATTCCCTTGAGGTCCCGGGGACAATGCCTAGGAATGCCAGGCGTTCTCGGAGGGCTTACACTGCCGCCAAGATCCCTCTACCTGTGAGTGGCGGTGAGCCCGGCTCCCTTTCTGCCCGACGGCTGCAGGTGCTGATCCACCGTCGCGATCCGCTCGCCGAAGAGCAAGTCCACGTCAAAAGGGAACTCCATACTTTCGGCATCCGGGTCCCTTCCTTCCTTCCTTCCTTCCTTTCTTTCTTCTTCTTAGGCCGGGTGGGTTGCGCCGCGGACTTCCGCCTAACAACGCCAAAAACCCCGGCAGGTTTCGGAGCGACGTTTCGCGCTCGGATCCGCCTTTAGCAACCGGGCCGCCAAACTCGCCTATAGCAACCAGGCCTCGCCTCCCTGTGCCTCGCCTGGAAGGCGCGCGCGGGCGGGTGTGTGTGTGTGTGTGAACAGTGCGTGGAGAGGCGGCGGGGGGGGGGGGGGGGGGCTTCGGGGGCGGTTAGCGGGGCGGGACGTGCGTGGGACCCGGGGACCTTCGGAACGGCCGTTGGCTGGATTGTTAAAAACCCGCGGCGAGTTCCGAAAGGAAGCCAAGGCGTGGAATCTGAAAGAGGATGGAACGCAGCAGTGGTTGAGGGAGGGGGTGGGGTGGGGTGGGGGGTTGGGGAGGATGAGAAGGCTCAATTCTATACATTGAGCGATACGAGAATATTGACGGTGCCGGCTTTGTTGCCACCCGTTCTTCTAATCTTTTTAAAAAAGTGAAAAGTTTTATGGAATCCATTTCCTTTGTTCCCGCGATTTCTGTCTCTTTCTCTCTCTCTCCATTCCAAGACTGCGGGCAGACACGCCATAACGGTTCTCAACGTTCCATCGAAAAGTTCCATTTTGCCGCTTAGCGAAATAACAAGCCGGTTTTCTTTTTATGTCTGACTCGCCTTTATTATATATATATTTTAATAAATAACTCAAGTGGGTGAACGTATCTAATACTCCTTGCTTTCCCCCCCACAACGATAACAACAACCCTGTGAGGTGGGTTGGGGAGGAGAGGGGGAGGGAGGGGGAGAGAGAGAGATCCAAAGGCTGTGGAGTTGCTTGGTCATCCAGAGCTGACTGAGGAAGCTCCTTGGATGAGAAGCTAAATGTCTTCAAAGAAAAACCAGGAAGTCCAGTTCCTCTTGAGAAAGCACCTTTGGGAAAAGTCATCAAGTTAAAATTCATTTAAGAATAGAGCTCTCACAATTTCTTGGTGTCTAGCCTGAATGTAGGGATTACTACAACCAATCTGGCTCTAACACTGCAACTTTCCTCAATTTGGGAAGTATTAGAGAGCCAAATATGGATTCATTACAAACTGCTTCGACTGTTAACCATTTACATCACCTCACCAACTGATCTGTCTCTGAAAGACTGTTGCGCTTACCTTTCACACGCATCTAAAATTGCAGGCTGACCAAAGTTAGATGCATGTTGAGAAATTGCAGGTCAGATAATCACTGAGGAAGCCAGTTCTCAGTGGGAAAGACTAATGTTTAAATAAAGTGCCATCAATTTAATGGTTAAATATGCAAGATTACATTGTTCATTGCTCTGCCTTATTAGAGACTCTACATGTCTTATGCAAACATCCTGTGTTCTATTGACTTTTTAAGGGAATGAATTCCCGACAGCGTTCTCGTTTTACTCACTGCTGAGTAAAAGCTTAAGAGTTTCTCAGCAAATGAATGCTGTTACTGTATCTACAGTATAAATATAAGACAAATGTGCACTACTGATCATCCTAGGTTTGTCCTTAATGTGTAATTAAAAGTTTTTTTTGTCAAACTTGAAATATCCTAAGGGAAATCACCAAAATTATTAATGGATTCTTAATTTTGTGTCTGATTCAGTGTTGATTCCTGGCAATTCCATTTTCTGGGCAACATTTTCATCAGGCTTTTCCTAGGGCTGAGAAACTGATACAAAGTCTCTCAGTTGAGTTTGCCCTAAGACAGGACTAGAATTCAGTTTTGGTTTCTAGCCGATACCTTTAGACCAAATATATTTTACTGAGATTAAGGCCCATTAGAACATAAGCATGTCATTTGATCATTTCAAACTTTAATGATTTGCAGAATATGAACCTTGCATTGACTTTTCCAATTGTTAGAGAAGCCTTCATATTTTTGAATATATTTCTAAATTGAACTGAGGGCCTATGACTCTTAAAAATATTTAAACAGGCCAGTAACTTCACAATGACATATTGATCAGTGATAAATTCTCCATTTGGAATCCTGAATTTGGGGTATTCAGGGATTTCATTCCATCTTTGAATTAAGACTCTTGGCCCATGTAATTCAGCAGTTTTTCTCACACAAGGTGTAACCAACTATTCAAGGGAATCCACTAGTTTTCCAGCAGGTGGCCTGCAAGAGGAAATCACATTGCAATCAATGTAGACAACAGGAATCCCCATGACTTACGTGCTTTGATTCAATCCTTTTTTGGAGTCAGCCAAGCTAGCAATTCAGCTTGTGGCCATGAATTTCAAAGCTGAATTTTGCTTCAGGTAAAAACATATTTTTAGTTTGTCTTGATTCTTCCAGGACTCCCATCTCACTGGTTGACTGTGGATTCCACTATTGTCAGAAGGGCAAAATAGCTTGTCTATTTTATTCCCACTATGCATAATTTTGTAAACTTCAAATGTGTCTCCTCATCCAACTTCTTTCTAGACCCAAAAAGGCCACATTTCCAATCTTTCCTCATCGAAAAGCCAATCCATCCCTTTCATCATCCTAGCTGCATACCTCTGGACTTTGTCTAGCAGCTCCTCTATATCCTTTTTGAGGTGTGGTGACCAGAGCTCTGCACAATATTCTAGTTGTGGTTATACAAATGCCTTGGCATTAGGCTAATTGCATCTATTTTTTAAATACCATTTTATTATTCCTAACATGATAGTGGCCTTTTTTACAACAGATGCACACCATCAGCACCTTCATTGAACCCAGCATTTTTACAAATTGCTAAAATTGCACTGGATTCAAAACAACTGCCACAGAAAGTTACCTTGAAGGTTCTGTATTGTCTCTAACTTGGAGACCCCTGTACTAAGTCATAGTGTGGTGTGGTGAGCAAATCTGTTTACATTTTGTATGAATCCAGCCAACAGCAGCCTATTTTAACAAAACCATGATTTATTGTAAAACAAAAACCCCATCACACTGTAGATACACACATCAAATAGTTTTTCATTGTATTTTTTTGTTTGTTTTACCCTATACTTCACCACTGCCCCAATTCAGTCACATGTTTCTAGCAAAGTTCAATCACCAGAATTTTCAGTAATCCCATTCAATTTACTAACACTTCTGGAGGAAATAATAGACAGCAGTCCTCTAACAACTGAACAACTTCAGAGGATTTTTAAGAATCAGTTACAGGCTTCACTGGGAATATTATAAATTGCTTTTTGGGGGGCTTGGTTTATGAAAGGTTGCTCTCTTCTTTCAGGTAATTCTTGTAAATCTTCCTGAATAGTTCGATTTTTTCCTCTGGAGGTTGCTTCCAGTCATACCAAGGATACCATGATGTCTTGCTACACAGAGCTGGGGATGGAGGAGTCTTGGAAACAGCTGGATGCTGGTTGCTCCAATCCACATCTCGGAAGGCGATCAAAGGAGTGCTAACTGGTAGAAGTCCTGACAAAGGAGGCACAAAGAGAACATATCAGAAAGACCATGATTGATCTGGTTCACACCTTCTATCTAATGGAAGGTTGGGGGAGGGCCTGGCTTAGCCTACCCTATGACTTGAGTGATCTTATAAACCATGGCACAGGGTGGATAATTTATGGCTTGTATGGGTGAGGGAAGGCAGGCAGCATCCTTTCTACAACCTCCAAAGATCTCAAACACCAGGGTGCTGAAATTTGGTAGCAAAATGGCAAATAGTATGGGGAAAGCCAAGAAATAATAAAAATGGGTGTGCAAGCCTTTTGTGAGCCATTCCCATTCTCACCCTTGATGCTCTGAAAACTCCAAAGCATATCATATCATACACTTGCCACCCTCCATTGAACTCTGCCTTATTTTACAGACTCATTTATGCTACTCACCCTTGTCTTGAGCTTGATCAATGGCTTTGACTAGCTCCTTATATTTATTTCTACACACACCTGCGAATCAAGAGAAGATGTGTTTCCAAGACCTGATAAGAGATCATTGTGATAGGCAAAAAAACCAAACACCAGTATCTGAAATAGTTAGTCCTCATTTAGCAACAACTGAGCAACTTCCTGTACTGCTGATAAATCCTTGGCCACTCAGTCTAACCTGGTTTGTTCTTACATACTCAAATTAACAGGACAACTATGTGTCCCAAAGGTTATATAAGTACTGTGTGAATTCTAGACTGATTTGCATTCAGGGACTTGATTGTGTGTGCTATCTATTCCCATCTGAGGTTGTCAGATGTACTAAAATGCTGTCGCTCCAAAGACCTGGTATCTTGCTTGGAGAGTAGCAAACCAACTGGGACAGTTTCTAAAATAAGGTTTTGGAAAATATGGTGGTTGCTGCAAATGAATGCAAATGTCATGCCAGCAATAACATTGTGTATGGAGTAGGGGGAGAGCAGACATAACAAGAATAGTTACATAAAACAAATGAGAGGGAGAGAAAGAGAATACCTGGGACAGGGAATTAAATGGAGAAGACATGAGATGCAATAGCTGCTTTACCTGTATGGGTTGGATCAAGGATGTTATTCGAGTGGGGGCAGATAAACTGTTCAAGAAGCTTCACATTCTATAAGATGAAAGGACATGCCCAATTTTACTCATTAGTTAGAAAAGGAAATAGAATAGAATAGCTTTATTGTCACTGCATTCCACAAATACAATGAAATTTGAAAGCTACTCCAGCACAGTGCCCCAAACACATCACAATCACACTACAGAGTAAATAATAACAACAACACCTAGTCTAAAACTTATCTAAAACATTTAGTAAGTTAAATAGTTTAAAAATGCCACTATATACATAGGACTAAATCACAAATGCACCATTTGATTCAAGACAATTATTGCCTTGGAAAAGAATATGGCTTATACGACCACTGCAACTGTATTTATTAAACTCGTAACTGTTTTGCTTGAATACCACTGATAACAAGATAGACCAGAATTGTTTCCACAATGGTATCGGTCTTTCAAACTTCCTGTTAAAAGTTGATCCAGTTAGCTTGTGGGTGCTATGACAATTGTTTTCCATTAACATTTTAAAGCTACCCTTATAGTTCTTATGTCCAGCTGCTCTAGAACTGCTTATATTTTATATTGTTTATATTGTTTGTAGCATCTTTTTTCTATGTTTAACCTATGGAACATGT